AAAATAACCAAAATGTAAAAATAGGGATTTTTTTAGATCAGTTAAATTAGGTAAAATAAATAAAAATGTTTCACGATGCATGCAGGCAAGCAGCTCGTATTAGTTTGTGGATAATGTAATTCAATAGCGTAACATAAGCCACACATTCACCAAGTTACTTACAACTTATAATGGCACAGGTAGTAGTTAAACAGTTGAAAGGGCAATAAAACAATAAAATTTAATTATAAATAGATGTATAATTTTACGAACATAGAGCTACTTAGGATAAACTAATGTAATTTCATGTTACAATTTGAATTAATTTTTTTGGGGAGTTACGAGGTCGGTAAAATTGACCAATACCATATAGAGATAGGGTTGAGAAAATAACATAAAATATAAAGTGTTACTGAAAATAAGCATTTAATCTGTACATACAAGGATTTAGGGATTACCCAAAGGAAATTTGAGATTTTTGAGGTGAGGAAATATATTTTTAATCTTAACACAAAAATCACTTTGCACACAGACTATTTAAAACAAATACTCAACATATTAATGAAAAAATCTTTATTTTAGCTTATTAAAAATACTTCACTAAAAAATATTATTTTTTGTATGTGAAAGACTTATAATATTAACTGAAAGACTGCCAAATTTTGTGAAGATATACATACAACATTAAATCTATAAAGACTTTAAATGAGTACAAAGAAGTCATGTGGTCAATCGAATTGACCATGCCTGTGTTGAGGGAGTTTAGGAAAAGAAACAGCAGAAAATTAGATGGAAACAAAAGGCCCAGCATGCATAATGGACCCCACAACCTGTTAAACAATGGCCATCACTTCGTCCTCAGTTAACGATCCTCCTGAAGCCATAGTTGAAATTAGTCCTGTGTGTGTGAAATTTCTTCATCTACACAGGAGTTAGTAGAAGCCACATTAACTTGTGAATTCATAGTAATAAAGTGAAGTATTGAGGACTAAGTCCAACGTATAACAAAAACCAAAGTCTCATTAACTAGTGCAGATCTCAGCAAATTGAAGTTGAACAAATTTTAGACATGATTTTGTCATTCAGTGATAAGGAAAAAGAATGAAGTTATCATGAGACCAAGTGCACAGGGGGGAGTAACTATGCATGAAGGTTGTGTCATTCTCCTACTGGTGGAGGGCTTTTGTATTATGATGATGTCATCATGCACCAGCTCAGTTCACATGTGTGTGTGTGTGTGTGTATGTATGTGTGCATAAGAACTTGTTTAAATCTAGAGATGTCTACTAAGAGCAATTCCTTGTACAGTATATACAGAATCCTTTCATTGGCAATACAACTACCTTGCACCAACTCCCAACTTGAAATCCTTGTGAATCATTCTTCCTTAAACTTTGTTTGTCCATGTGACAACCTGAAATTGTTTCTACATTCAATATAATTTCTTCTCTATATGTATCACTCTTAAATCTTCATTCTATATCAGAAATAAAAACATCAACTTCACTATACAGGTAAATCTTTCTAAGAAAGGCAATCACAGCCCAACAAAATCATTTGATATATCAATTCATATTATGTTACCCAATGCTACTGGTTCTCAGAATTTGTCAGTATTTGAGAGATTTCACTGTAGCAGTGAAAGACACAGTGCTATAACTCTCCCTCTCATGAACAGGTATGAGTGAAAGAAGAAGCAATTCACTCCCTTAGCTGTTCTTCATTGGGAATATTTAAGACATCTACTGATGATATACGCAATGAGTCTTTCTTTGTGAGGTATGATGATGAAGATTCTGAAGGTGAGGATTCACTGGGAATTAGCTTAAGATAAAGCATGCACAATAGCTAACTAGAAAACATTGATTCAATTTTCATTTTACACAAGAAATGCAAAATTTTAGGAATTATATAAAAAATGACGGTACTTTTTTAAGAAAAAATACACTTTTTATAATTCATTTTTTAGGATTTTAGGGCCACTTGAAAGCCTGAAACGAGATAGAAAAAGTGTTAGACAGAGGTCCTGTAGAGGAGATTGAATGAGATGAAAGTCAGAAAGAAAGATAACCTGACAAATATACTCCAGAAACAAGGAAATCAAGTGAAATATGAAAAAATGGAAGAACACCAAGGGCAAGATGGAAAACAGGTATGTGCAAGTCACCCATAACAGTATTGGAAAGCCTCCAAATTAACCCAGAAGTTGGTGAAAAAATGAAGACAAGTACATGAAGAGAAAGGAGAAGAAAAAAAGAGATCCCTAAATTGAAAGTTAACATTTTCTTTACCTGAAAATGTATTTCCAATAGATTCTTACCTCTCTGGTATCAAGCAGCCTCAACCCAAGTCTCCATGTTGTTCGGAGCACCCTCAAAGACTTCAGAGCAAAGAAAAAGAGTCAAGCAGAGGTCACAGAGGCAAGAATGGGGAAGATGAATTTTAGAGAGAAGAGCCTCATGTCCCAGAAGATCACAACAACAGAGGAACTAACTAAGCAGGGACAAGGCAAAAGATGAAACTTTCACCAAGGTATTGAAAAGGAATAACCACAGATCCCCAGAAAAGCTATCATGATCACAGTTTAGGGCTTCAGATGGGAGATGAAGAGAAGATAGATAATGAAGAAGATTTGTAAGAAAAGGGCAAAGATGGGAAAATTGAACACTAGAGAGTGTTAGAGGAGACAGATGGTCAGTCTTCTAAGCAGGTAAAAGGGACTCCAGGGATTGGGAATCCTAGAATGGAAAAGGGGAACAGCCATAATAAATAATAATATAAGTCATGACAAGGGAATCCTGGAATCAAAAAGGAAAGTCATTTAGTAAGAAACATGAGGAACCACAAGACATAAGAGAAAGGAAAAGTAAAGAACAAATCTCAGTAATCAAATCCTCATTGTTCTCAACGGGTAAAGAGGTAAGAAGGCATCAAAGAACCGAGGACACGATAAACTATGGCAGTAGCATTTTCCACAATCAAAGACTCCAGTGACCACAGACAACATACAGTATTGTAGCAACATCGCCAGAACCTTAAGTGGAGGTAGTAGTCACCAATAGTTGAGAATTTGTGGTTGCATAGCAAATCTCGAGATCCAAAAAAAAAACATTTTTTTTAATTATTTAGCGGTGACATAGCTGGAAACTGAAGTTATAACAAACAAAAAGGAAATTAAAGAAAGCTAATGTTGTGAAAAAGTAGCATAATTCTTATGAAATTGAGAAACACTTCCATTAAAGACTGTGTCAAGGATAAGAATGTAATTAATTTCAGGTGTATGTGCTTATGGGGATCTACTATGCATTAAAGTTGTGTCACCTTCCTATTGGTGGAGGGCTATAGTCTAATGATGAGTACATCATAGAATGGTACAATACACATTAACACGTGTCAGGGTGGGAGCTTTGTTCAAAGTTTTTGGCATGTGCAGGATATTACATGGCAGTGCATGTGAAATAACAGCTCTTGGTGGTGCAGTGAGACAAGTATCATTTCTGAATACAACATTTAAACAGTTTTATGTCTCGCACAAAAGCATTTTAGAAACAACATTAAAAGCAAACATTTTTTACCAAAGAAACATCAAAATGAATGTTGTCTATGTATGTTCTTTGGAAATTAAAACTTTGTAATTAAGATTTCCAAATTATATCACAAAATATTATTATGGACTTCAATGTACACTATCTTGCCTATCTCTTTTAAGAAAATTGCAATATCACTGTTTGTGAATAATGTATACACAATATTGGTGCCATTCACACTAACAGTTACTCACCTCTTCACTTGATGGGTATGAAGTAATGTTGACACTCAGGGCCTTTGCATTACCTAATGGCTCAGGAAGTCGTTGGTACAGATCTTCCGACAAGAAGGGCATATATGGATTGATTAGACGTATAAAAGTGTGAATACAATTAAGCATGACACTAATTACAAGTTTCCTGGACTGCTGATTGGTGGACTTCAAGATGGGTTTAACACTTTCCTGAAGAAACAATTTTCAAGATTAATGATAAACATATTTCAGAATTAAAAGAAACAAGCCTGCAGGAAAATGTAAGGAATTCAACAAATACACAAACAAAGAAATGTAACCAAATGAAGTGACTGCAATAAAATTAAATAAAATAAAATAAAACTAAAAATAGTTCTCAGCAGTGCTTCAAATTTCAGGCAAATAGCCAATTATAAAAGTTTTTTCACAATTTCATTTGTGAAAATGTATTTATATAGATATCAAAACCACATATTTTCCACATCATCCTCAGTTCATTGTACATATACTATAAACTATTAACATTAAATGCCAAAAAAAGCATTTATAGTCCCCTGAATAAACTTTATTCTGTTTTAGGAAATACCTAATTAACCTGGCTGACTTCTTACACATATTTTTCTGCTTTAATATACCAAGATTTCCTGTTTCTCACTGAACAAAAGAATTAAATGTCAATATGTGCAAGATACTTACTTACAGAACAAGTTAAAAAATATAATTATCATCATGCAAAAAACCTAATTTCCTGACTTGAGATGTAAACTGTCAATTCACTTTTAGCCTGAAGTTATTAAACACCATCTCCAAACCTGCATTAAAATCAAACAAGACATCTATAAAAATGGGACAAGTTTTTTCAACCTGTGTCACTATCATCTCTAGAAAAAATTATAAAAACTTATTTTGTTAGAAACTTGTTATTTATAATAAAATGGCTACTTATGTTACATTAAACCTTAAGCATACAAATTAATTATACAATCAAAATTGTCTTTTACCTAAAACTGCATCTCTCGTGTTAGTTAGAATCATCAGTACGCGATTAGAAGTTGGAAAAACAGGATTAAACAAGAATGAAGTACTAAACTGATCAGTGTTTTGAAGAACATAACTTTTAAAAGTTTTTTTTGAGAAAACTAACAGTTTTTAAAGTTTATATTATCATTATTGAAAATACATTACAACAAGACACAGTTGATATTACAGTATCATGCAACTGCTTCAACTATTATCCTCCAAAAACTATTCATCCAGTTAATATTACAGTATTATGCAACTGCTTCAACTACTATCCTCCAAAAACTATTCATACAGTTAATATTACAGTATCATGCAACTGCTTCAACTATTATCCTCCAAAAAACTATTCATACAGTTAATATTACAGTATCATGCAACTGCTTCAACTATTATCCTCCAAAAAACTATTCGTGCAGTTAATATTACAGTACCATGCAACTGAACAACTATTATCCTCCAAAAACTATTCATACAGATACTGTAATATTAAATGCAACTGCTTCAACTATTACCCTCCAAAAACTATTCATACAGTTAATATTACAGTACTATTTCAACTACTATCCTCCAAAAAACTATTGATACAGTTTAATAAAACATGAGGTGCATTATTTTTTTTCTAAGTTGTATGTGTTATACAATTTTTTATATTAAAGCAACTAATGATGTAACTGTGAGAATCTTGTTTCTTCTAATGTAAAGTTCATTATAAATTTGCTGAATTATTATGTTCCATAAGTCTGTTTTGATTCTCCATCTAACAAACAAGACTGTATGGCACATTTGGAAATAAACAAAAGTGATTATGTTAAACAAAAATCAATGTTCATCAGAAATAATATTTGCTTCAATGACAATTAGTCTGAAATTAATGCATCTTTATACCTACTTTTGTCTGGACTATTTTATATCACAAATAATTATATATTTCATACAAAATACAAATAAATTTGGATATTCAATAGACATTAATTTAAGATAATTAACAAAGGTTTATCTGTAGTGAAAAGAACAGAAAAAATGTGTATACATGTGTATCAAATTATTTCAAGTTATTTAATGAAGTTTTCAAAAGTTCAACAACTGTCACAACACAAAAAAACAGTTACAAAATGCACATAACTTTTACTATTACCAGTTTAAAAGTCAATGGATCAGCATGGAACCCACATTGCCATATTTTGAACTACCAATCAAAACCCTGCTAAAAGAAAAATATAACATTCTTTTATTTACCAAATAAATATCACAGAACTGTCTGATCCAGAAATCTTGCAGTGCAGTTGTGGCTAAATGAAAATTACAATCAGGAAAGCTTTGGTTGCAGGTGTCCACAAGATTAGACAAATGACTTAATATCCAATGATCCAACGGAGACAGTTTGTCATGAACCTAAAAAATATTAATAATAATCATGATCCTACTATTATATTTACACCATCCAACTCTGCAGAATATTAGCTGTACTCAAATACAGAATATTTATACGAGTGTGGGTCAGGAAGTTGTCTGGCAATATGACATACAAACCTGAAAGATTCAAAGAAATTTTATCAATTCAATGCTGATATAATCCTTAAGTTTTTCGATTTTTTTTGTGGGCTGAAATGTTTTGTAAACATTTATGAGAGTATGACTTATTAGAGTTTATAGTAATGAACAAGACAAGTAGTGCAAATGCTAGATGACAGTCGATTTTACGAATGGGAGAGGCCAGAGGCAGTAATTAAATATTGTTTGTGAATTATGAACAACTTGCAAACATAAGTAAATAAATATTTGTACTGAAAGTCAGAAAGATGCTGCAACCCCTTAATGAGCATACTACAACATTTTAATTAATAATATAATAACCTGTTACCTATTCATAATTTAGTACACTATGGTTTCTCCATAATTATAAGTTTTCTCATAACAAGCATTTGACGTATCTGCGGTATTATAAAATACATAATTATTTAAAAAATATATAGATAACAAATAAAGTGCAACATGCAGTACAGCAACTCTCTATTTGTTGCTGCTCTAAATTGTACTGAATATGTCACAGAGGAGATGTAAATCTTTGTTTTAGTTCTTTTTAACTATCGAACTATACCTCCTTTATATACCAATAAACATCAATGGGGGTTCATGTATCGCATCATACTAAGTAAGGTTTGTCACAATACCTAGTGTAAAGGACTGATCTTAAAATAAATAGGGTAAATTCACTCACTTTATATGCAAAAAATACAAAATTACTAACTTAAATAGTGGGATTCATTGCAATATTGATGGCATATTTGTTCCAGTTTGTATTGTGTATCTCATATGTTAGCAGAGACCCTGTAACCAACAAATTTATGAAACCACAAGCAGTTTGGATAAACAGTTTATAAAAATTTGTTTACAAAACCTGATGGACCCTATCAGTAATTCTAGGGTTAAGACTGAAAGCAGTCCACAACAGAAATTATGAAAAGAAATTAAATTGAGAGGAGAAAGATTCTTAGAAAATGCAATATCTTAATATTGGGGTCTCGCCATGTAAACAGCTAGGTAGTTGTATTATATTAACGTAGGATTGCATGTTTTCTAGATTTAATTTATCACATCAAGAGACCAAACTAAGCCTACTTATTCTATTCTATTCTTACATTACAAAGAAAAGTAACTGCTCATAACACAGTATTAATGGTATTATCACAGCTTTCTTTCTTTAACTATAATGATTGCAGCTTGTTTTTTTAACTAGTTTAAATCATCTACATGTTAATGATTACAGGACATTTGTGGAGCAGTGAATGGTTGAAATATTAAACATCATAAACTAACCTCATACAGGTTATATGTCAAAGCACTATAACCTTCTTTCATGACTCCAAACAGAAATCTTGTTCCTTGCCAAATTTTATTACAAAAGTTCCTGCAACTTCGTACATAATTCACATCAAAGTTAACAGTTTGACCTGCAGTATGAAAAAATATCAACTGGTAAAAAGTATCCGATGTAGAATATCTTAGCTTTAACTATTTTAATTCACTTAATTACCAAAATTTTCTGTAGTAATATTTACGTTTTTTCATTCTAAAACAAAAAAAAATTTAGTTTTTATTTTTTTCTTCTATATATTTTGATACACTTGTACTAGAAATATCTTTAACTTGTAGTAATACTTGCTGTGAACACTTGGAGATACATTTATCATTATTAACAATTAGAACATTTCTTGTTTTTACAGTAATAACAAATTCTATTCAAGATATATAAATTTAGAACTATACAGTTTCCTCAAAAACAAAATCAGGAAATAGATAACTCATTTGTTTTTAATTACCTATATTCCTTTAACTGTTTATTTGATATATTTGCCGTGATTAGTTTTAGGTCTGTTTAAACAAATATTTTATATTTTATTGACAAGCCTATTCAGGACTTTTATATGGTATTACTTACTATACACTTCTCGAAATACGTAAAAACATAGCTAAGATGTATATATTTTTGTAAATCAAAAAAAAACTTCTTAAACTAAATTAGAAATACACTAAGTACTACGATTATGTTTTCCAGATTATTTTCTTTACCCCAATGCTATTCTTTCAGCAGTTACAGCTGAGATACTCAATGAACATACAATATATCTTATTTTAGTAATTTTAGATTTTGTTGTTAGAAAATACAGAAAGTAAAAAAGATTAAAATATGCCTTGAAAAAAGGAGTACAAATAATCTGATAAAAATTTATTTCTGGTCCAATAAACATGAGAACAATACAACTGTTTCACAACTGACAAGAAAGAAACTTGAAAATGTTCCAAGAAAACTTCTATAACAAGAAATGTATTTATATAATTTCAAAAGTAGTACACACTCCTTTAAAGCTAAATACTTTGCTAAAGAAGTAAAAACTGAGATTGTGTGGAATTCAGCTCTCACTCTGCTTATTAATCTCAACTTTCACTTCTTCAGAAAAATTCCTAACTTCAAGGAATAGTGTTCAAACTTTATATTTTTTTAGCTAAACTTCTTAAAATTACTACTGTACGCTCCTGATGGAATTTCCTTTACAAATGTCTCGGTTCTTTTATTTTTGTAATTGAGGAACACGTGATATGAAAATGTAGTTAATGAATCAAAATCAGTCTTGTTTTTATAATGATCAGGTTATACAAAACTGACAACTTACTTTTAATATTGCTAGATAACAGTGCAAATCTTAAGCTATCAGCTCCACACTGAGGAATACCATTAGGGAAAAGCTCTTTTTGACCCTTCAGAGCTCTTTCACGTTCTTCAGCTGACAAGACACCTTTCTCAAAACTACTATGAAGTTTTTTATCAAGTTCCTACAAAACATCCCACAAAAATATCTACATATACACTAGGTGTACACACATTTTATCAATAATTTAAAAAAAAAAATCTTGTACTGATTTTAACCACACTGAACTAATACTTCGGTATTAAAATTCAGATGCTTTTTGAACACTTTTTATGTAATTATCACTAAAATAAACACAGAACTGTTCACCATAAAAGACTTCCAAAAGACATATTGGATGTTACTGAAGATGGCTAAATGTATGGGTATCTTCAGGACACATATTTATATAAAAAGCTGACTTTTCAGAGGACAGATATTTTGCTCTACCATCAACAAATACATATAGAAAATTTCAAGAACATGCAAAGTATATTTTTCTTTTTATAGATTTAAATGAACAGAAAGCTAAATGGACTTTAATATACTTAAAGCAGAGGAGCTGGAAAATAAAGCCTAATCTACAACTTGTTTATATCTACTAAAACTATACTTTTACATATATGTACACTCATTTTCTAACCTAATATTGTTTACACATGCATCTCTACATACAAAGTGATGATAACTTCACTAACCTCTAAAGAGATGCCATGAATAACATCTACTGGGTCTACCACATTACCTAGAGTCTTTGACATTTTCTTTCCCATAGCATCACATAGCATACCATGAAGTACAACCTACAATAAAAACATAACAGTTTTTACAATGCAACAAGTTCACAAAAGCACTGCTTATGAGTTACCATCTTTTTACCACAGACATTCACAAACCACATAATACTTCTTTACTGAATAAATTACTATCTTATTCAAGCAAAACCTCATAATTCTATCATAGTTTTCATTTTGATTAAAATCTCATGTATACATCTTTAACAGTGAAAAATAAAAAGTTTCTTACAGTTTTTTGTTGAATTTTACATAAACATACATAAGGGCTATCTGTGCTAGCATTCCCAAGTTTTGAAGTGATAGACTAGAGGGAAAGCAGCTAGTTAACACCACCCACCACCAACTCATGGGCTATGCTAATTGAATAGCGGGATTTGACCATCACTCTTATAATGTCCCACATCCCCAAAGTGTAGACTGCTATTTTGTGAGTGGTAACCATGCACAAACCATGCAACGTCAAATTCATAGTCTGACACACTAACCACTGGGATGTGCTCAGTCAGTTTCTTCTTCAAAGTCTATTCAAAATACACAACTGAGTATAATCTTTCTTACCTTGGAAAAGGGAAGTTTTCCTGTAAGCTTCTGACCTAACATCACCATTCTAGCCACCCAGAAAAACAAAATGTCATGACCAGTTTCCATCATTGACAGAGGGTAAAACTGTTTAAAGTCTTCTGACTGTAAAATGAAGAAAGCCAGATATTTCAGAACAACATAGCTCAATGATCATTAAAAGTAATGTTAACAAATAAAAAAAAATGAAAGGTATTAGTTACAATACATAGAAATTAATCACTATACAATAACTGATCATATGCTAGTATCAAATAAGAGACCTTACATATGGTAGATGGAAAGGCAAGTTGTAGTCAAACATTTTCATCTCAAAGAGAAGAAACAATGCTACACTCAACATGAAACAATGAAGAAACAACTAGGAAACAGTGTATCGTGGATTGACTACAACCATCTACTTAATCTTATGAACAATGTGAAATGAAAACCGAAAGCCACCTCGAACACAGACAGAACACCAAGCTGACCAAACTAATATCGGATAAAGACAACAACGGTATTGATCCAAGCAAAGTGATTTTTAATTTCAGTGATGTGAATCTCAGTGAACCATGTAAAAGTACCCTAGCTAAAGGCCTGAAATTTGGCTTACCTCCACCTAAACTCAAATTTTCTGACTACCTCCACCCCTTCGAAACCACTTACAAAACTCTCAAATCTCAACCTATCTTCAACCAGAAAGGTTCCATTAACGTACAGAACTTCATAAAAACAAGATTAAAGAATATTGCCCTGTCTTCATTCCATAAATACAATTCCTCTAAACCCGTTTCCACTATTACACAAGAACAACGCACTACCTTGAAAGAATTAGCCAAAAACGAAGATGTTATAGTTACTCGGCCCGATAAAGGAACGGGTGTGGTCATACTCAATAGGCCTGATTATATTAACAAAATGCATGGCATCCTAAATTATAAAACTAAATTCAAAACCTTAATATTGATTGGCTGAAACTTGCTATAAAACGTGAAGGTAAAATATAACAAGCTTTAAGAAATTACAAAAACACAACTACATTTCAGAAATGGATTTTGAAGACATCTACCCCTCAGGCTCCCACCCCGGTATTACGTACGGGTTACCTAAGGTCCACAAAAATAACACTCCCTGAAGGCCGACTTTATCTAACACCTGTTCTCACACCTGTAAATTGGCTAATTTCCTTGTCACTATTCGTAACCCTTTCACTTACAACAAGTTTTTAATAAGAGATTCTTTTTCTTTCACACAAGAAATCTCTAGGATAAATAATGCTGACTCACTAGTTTTGACATTGAATCCCTATTTACAAACATCCCACTCCAGGAAACCATACAAATTATCTTAAAAATGTTTTTCCGAACAATCATGAAAAATACACAACTTTTAATTGCCAACACTTCAAGGAACTACTTAATCTCGCCCTCAAGGACAACCACTTCGTTTTCAACGGTTAATTATATGACCAAATAGATGGCGTGGCAATAGGGTCACCTTTAGGACCAACCCTCGCCAACATATTTCTTTTTCATTATGAACGTTCCTGGCTAAACACCTGTCCAGCAGAGTTCAAACCAACATTTTATAAAAGGTATGTTGACGATACATTTCTCCTCTTTGGAAACCATAATCACATCAAAAAGTTTCTGGACTACCTAAATGCTAAGCACCCAAACATTAATTTTACCTGCAAGATTGAAAAAAAAACGGTAAACTACCTTTCCTCGACGTCTTAATTAAAAACTAAGATAACCAGTTTACCACTTCTGTCTATCGTAAGGAAACATATACAGGACTTCATACTCGTTTTGATGGTTTTATTCCAAACTCTTTTAAAAGTAACCTCATTCTAAATCTCCTCAATAGAGCATACAACATCTGTTCTAACTATTTCTCTCTCCATACCAAAATCACTACCCTACAAATCATCCTAACACTCCATTTTACCCAAGCTATAACAAACAAGTTCCTTTCTGAAGAAATGAACTCTCCAAGAAACCACACACTGTTAACAAATTCCAGTTATGTCTGGTCACTCCATTCCTAGGAAAACAATCTTACATAATGAAGATCCAAATTGTAAGATTAATTAAAACATTTTACCCACAAATCCAACTACAAATGATATTTGAAACACCCTTTAAAATTCAAAACTTATTTAAAACAAAGGACCGCTTACCTACCCCTATGCATTCAAAACTCATCTACAAATATATGTGTTGTGGCTGTAATGCCACTTACATTGGTAAAACCACATGCCAATTACACTTACGAGTTTGTGAACATATGAGAATATCGAGTAGGACTGGTAATAAACTATCAAATCCACCTGAATCAGCAATCCGCTTACACAGTGAAAATAACAACCACCCTATTCTGATTGACAATTTTAAAGTAATTTGACCGGTTCATCCAACACAGAGCTTCTCATCAAAGAAAGCTTGTCCATTTTAAACGAATGCCCCACTCTAAACAATAACACAACTTCTTTACATCTAAGCCCATTATAAATATCCCTAGCACATTGTCAACTATACAATGTTATCTCTATACCTCGCCTTCTTTACCACACTAGTTTCATAATATAATTGTTAAAGTTTTGTTACTTCCTGTTTAAATCCTGCTGGTTGTTGTTGTTGTTGTTTTTTCTTTCACCTTAAGCTACTATAAATGTTCCAACTGAATAAATATGTGTATTTAATACTATCGATTAATTAATACAGTCACTGAAGATGGAACGAGAATATTCTGAAACGTCCGAATAATAAACGTACGTTACCAAAAACAAAGTGTTGAATGTTTGCTATTACCATCATTCTACTGATTATTTTCACCTTTTGATTTAATTAATACCAATGTGCTACTCTCTGTTTTGACAATGGTCCAGTAAGACATTATTGTAATAATACCAATGTCCTTCTCTCTGTTTTGACAATGGTCCAGTAAGACATTATTGTAATAATACCAATGTGCTTCTCTCTGTTTTGACAATGGTCCAGTAAGACATTATTGTAATAATACCAATGTGCTTCTCTCTGTTTTGACAATGGTCCAGTAAGACATTATTGTAATAATACCAATGTGCTTCTCTCTGTTTTGACAATGGTCCAGTA